GAATAGAATAGAATAGAATAGAATAGAATAGAATAGAATAGAATAGAATAGAATAGAATAGAATAGAATGGAATTTGCCAAATTTGCAGACGATACTAAGCTGGCAGGAATAGCGAACACCCAAGAAGATAGGCTCAAGATCCATCTGGATCTTGACAGACTAGAACCATATCTAACAAAATGAAATTCAATGTAGATAAAAGTAAAGTCCGACACATATAGACCAAAAGTACACATATAGACTGGGTGAAACCAGGCTCAATAGCAGTAACCGTGAGAGGGATCTTGGAGTCCTAGTGGACAACCAGGCAAATATGAGCCAGCAGTGTGCAGCAGCAGCCAAAAAAGCTAGTGCAATCCTAAGTTGTATTAACAGAGGGATACGAACAAGATCAAGGGATGTATTAATACCACTCTATAAAGCCTTAGTAAGATCATGCCTTACTAAGTACTGCATCCAGTTGAGTACTGCATCCAGTTTTGGTCACCACATTATAAAAAAGATGTTGAGACTTTAGAAAAGTACAGAGAAGAGCAACCAGGATGATTAGGGGACTGGAGACTAAAACGTATGAAGAAGAGAGAGTGTTATTGCAGGTGCTTCTCTGGGTTTCTATCAGTGGCTGGAAGTGGTGTTGAAATTTACAGAAAGAAGATTATAAGACTCTAGAGAAGAGAGTTATAAAACTGTTTGGAACTTAACAAAAAGCCTTGGATAATTAAATTGGTGCAGTGTGTTCCTTCTCTTTTTACATTGGGCTATTCTCTACTGCAACAAACCCCCTCCTTATTAGTTTATTATTTTTGATAGCCACTTGGATCTCTGGCCTTTTGGAATTAGTTTTTGTTTTTTTGTTTTTTTCTTTCTGGAGTCTATTTTTTATTTTTACATTTTATTTTAAAGGGAAAATCTTAGTATTAATTTTTCTTTTTCTTTTTAAGGGAGTAGTTTTTTGTCTTTTTTCCTTTCCCTTCCCATCTTTTTATCTACTTCCTATATTGGTTTTTTCCGTGGCTCTTTTTGTTGTTCTTTTTATACCTGAGACTTTTTAATTGGAATAAGGTGTTGAAGAACCTGAAGAATTTTATTTTATTTTATTTTATTTTATTTGCCACCTACAATACTTAACAATTTTTCCTTTTCCTTTTTGTTTTTTTTTCTTTGGGGGGGGGGTTTCTCACTATTTAACCAATTGATTGGATTAAGGTGTACAAGAACCTGAAGAAGCTTTTCTTTTATTCTGCTTTCCTTTTTTCTCCACTATTTTTACTTGGAATTACAACTGGTCATTACACAAGTGGATTAAGGTCTAGAAGAACCTGAAGATTTTGAATTGTTTGAAATGAGCAGGAAACCAACAGCGTCTGGTTCCTGATGTCCTACTTCTTCCTCTTCACCATCTGGAGGACAACGCTCAATACAGATGATGTTACAACAAGAAAAAGAACAGGAAAAGGTGACGCTGCAGATGATAATGCAAGGAATTCAAAACATACAAGCAAGAACAGAGAATATTGAAAAGAGAACAGAGAACATTGAACAAAGAACAGGAAAAACTGATGAAAAGGTGGAGAATATTCAACAAATGATGATGAAGTATGATGAGAGATTCCAAAAAATTGAAGAAGATAAACAAAGAGATAAGAAGATTGGAGATATTGATGGCAGATTAACCATTGTCAAACAAGATAAAAGTGGGATGATGGGACGGCAGATGGACAGATCAGAATTTTATCTTAGATTCCAAAACATAGAGGAAGAAAAAGGACAAAATTTGGCAGAGATAATGGTAGAAATCTTGGCTGAGGCACTGGAAATAACTAAAGAGAAGATGATTGATGGAATAGATGAGGTTTTTCGAGTTTTCACAAGATATGCAATGAGAAATAGTTTGCCAAGAGAAGGT